ATATGTCCTAATATGTTTGTGCACTTTTCATGACAGGGTCATGAAATTATACTTTGTTTCATGAGCTCCAATTGCTAAATTATTTACGGGGTCTTGGCTCTATTTTTTTTTACGAAAATGAATGATTTGAAAAATATTTTCGTAAAAATGATCATGTGTATCACTTTAAATAAATAGCCAATAAAAAATGTTTCCATCGTCGATAACAATTTATGTCTAAACATTTTCGTTGACCATGAATTTTTTTTCGTTTATTCAATTTTGTAAGCAATACAAATAATCGGTTTTAGAAAAATATTTTCCAAATTAATCATTCTTTGTGAAACAAACAGAGCATAAAAGTGAGGACAGTTCGTGATAGTACCACACACTTTTATCCTCATTGTGTCCATTTTTCTTAAGATCATATTCTTTTCGTATATGAACATCACAAAATTTGAGTACTTGGTGCCCGGTTTGCAAGTCACTGTACCCAAGCATCACTAAACTTTAAGGAAATAATATGTTAGAATATCCTAAATATATTTAGAAAATATCTAGATTTCTCTAACAGAATAGAAAATAATACTAGACTTTACACTTTAGCTTGACTTGGTTTTGCATCCGAATAATATTCAAACTCAACTCGACTCGGGCGAGACTTGTCGAGTCAGCTCAACCAGCCACTCATATGTGGTTTCTCTTTAAGACCTCCATTTTAAGGGACATAAAAGTTCACTAACGCAAAGCCATAGACATTAGTTTATGAATGCTTTGGAGTATAAGCCACTTTAAAATCTCTCGATTTCTTAACACTCCCCAAAATCCAACTCTTCTACTGGCCAAGTGCCAACTCGGGCTGTTTTTATATGCACAAAAAAACATGTTTAAAAAAACAGATCATAATATAGTGTTTCTGTAATTAAATATATTATCATCGGATTGTGTCATAAGTCAACTCCTTGTCGGGCTCCACACTCAACATCAAACATCAAACCAAACATGAATTGCATGAAGTCGTGCCTGTCTGGTTCGATTGGTCAATGATCACCTCCAATGATTTTGCATCGATTTGCACAAATAGTGAGGCAGAAATGAAGACTATTGCTAATGGCGCAACCCTCACGCAGAGTCCTGTGTTTTCCTCTCATTAAGTCTGATTTAAGCAAGTGATTTCCAAAAAAATTTTGAGTCAGTAGTCGTCAGGAAGTCGAGTTGATTAACAGGGCAATGCGGCATATTCTTCATTTTGTGCACATGAACAGTAATTAAGGTCGATCAGCAATAGTAATGGTAAAGAAAGTTAAAAAGAATGGAGGAGTCACATGATTAACCCAGATTTGCTTGGAAAATTATTAACTGCTTTAAATGTCAATTAGTCCAACTTGGTGCATAAAATATACATCACATGTTCATATAATACTACATCTGTTGGTTAAAACAATAATTAAGAACATTGAACTAAAACTTCTCCCACAAAATTTCGTCCAATAAGGACTGAGATGTGAACATATTTAACTAATGAAATCATAATACATTGTGTGTCTCCGCTTAGAGATGCATGAATCTCTTAATCTTTACTCCACCTTTTTAAAATCAAAGTTGTTTACTCGCGAGAGAAGGTTTCTTTTTCTTTTTAAATTGGTAGATGGGTGTGGGGGAGGGGTGTTCGACGTGCTACCCTTGACAGGATGTTATCATAAGGAGTCTGATGCCTATTATAGAATGTTTATTTGAATTCTAACTACTATGTCCACTCGAAACTCATAAATTTGATGAGCCATCTCTGTATTTCCACTGGCGTACCAGAAGCAATAAAGCCTTTCCACATGAGGAAACAAAAAACTAAAGGTACAAAATGGGTAAAGTTTGCTCACGATGGCTCTAGCTTATAATCATGATGATGTGACCCTTTAGCGCAAAACCACCATGTTTGGTGATTTTAGGAGAAACTTATGTCACGTAAACAAGGGTAGGGGAAGTGAAAAATCAATAGGGGAAGTGAAAAATCAATATACACAAGTGTTGAATGATATCATTAGAGGGTATATGTCAAGTATAATACACACACCACGGTATTTGAGTAATGCCCAAATCCAAAACCCTCGAACACTAATTCTCCCGAAACAATCAACCGGTCATTTTGTTTATTTCTCATCACTATGGTTAGCCTTCGCCTTCTATAACATATTGAGGCTAAATTCTATTACAATTGTATAACCATAAATACAAATTATATCCAAATTAAGGACTCATAGTGTCATTTGCAAACATGAGATGACAAGCAATTGATGATCCATGCCACATGGAAAATAGACTCAATAGTGTCATCATCATGGTTTTGTGAGAGCTGGTTTTGCATAAAGGCTACTGGAGCAGGTGTAACTAAGCAAGGTTTGTGCGTCCAATTGATGAGTGGGATACCTTGACCTACGTTTTGGAACTTTCTGACAGCATTTTCTACAGACCTCATTGGATCTGTAAAACATCCAATTTTCTTGGAATTCCTAAACCTAATTGAAAACCTATTTGAGTTTGGACTAACCCCATTAATTGTGGCTTATATCTTCCTTTGAACAGAAGTCAAAATCTGTCCCCATGGACTTCAGCGAAGGGCAGAACGCATGCTTGAATCCGAGTAATCAACGCAAGTAACTTAGCATCTTCTCCGGCTCTGGTTGGATCAAGGAAACACCGATTTCGACTTGTTAAATTTGAACCCCCGTTGTTTCAGGATAGGATAATAATAAAAGTCTTCCTTTGTCTAGGGATTTCAGACATTAGTTGATCGTTGAAAACTCCATTTTATTTTTCCTCCAGCACGCCTTTTTCTTGTTGAAAGTGCACCCTCTGTTGCATCTCGATTTGTCCTTTTCCTCCACGTGAATGCCTAGTTTATGATTGGTCGATGTGTGGAAGGTTTCTTCGAGAGGGGTCACAATGATTGAGATAAAAAAAGACTTGCTTAACGAATTTTCATCGTCTTGTACTACACAGGTAGATTTTTTTGCTATTGTTTCACTCTTAGAAAGTGAAAAATCTTTCAGATGATTAATTTGGATTTTTATAAAAAAGGTTTTTTTTTACAATATAGGATAGGAAAGTAAATGGCTTGAAATTAGACGAATTTAAAATGCGAACACTGAAATTTAAAGCTCAAGGTTGGAAAATTTTGCAAAAAGTGAAAGCGAACAGTTAAATTTGCAAAGGACTGTCTTCTGTCATTAGTTAGGCGAGCGAGCTTACAAAAAATACACTTTGGGTATTTTATATCTCACTAACAATAGCTACTCATCGATAAAAATTTATCAATTTTGAATTTACTCATAACTCTCTGGAGCTTTTAGACATGCCCCTCATGCTTTGGTAATCATTATCCAAAAGGAGATACAACTTTCGAGACTATCGTGGCAACCAACCGTCAACCATGTATTGGAATCAATATGTGGTCTTTGCTTTCGAACTAGCAAACTTTGCAATAACAAACTGTTGATGAACTTTGTTGTCTGGTGAGATTTTTCGTCGATAAACTTCTATCGTATTTGCTATCGATGACTTTGTTGATGAGTTACTGATTCTTTTCAAGTTGACCATCTAGTTCATTTTAACCAGACTTGGTTATTGTCTATCTAACTCCCTACGCGTTGATAATAAAAGCCGGTCCTTTTGAGCCATAGGTATCATTGCACGATCGGCTAGCGGATTAGTAGTCCACGCTTGGACAAGGAGAGGTCGTTGGAACTCGCCTATGGAAGTGGAAGCAGCAGCTCTCCTTCTCGCCTGCAATTATGCTCAATCCCTGGGCATTCAAAAAGCGATCTTTGAAAGCGATTGTAAGGTCTTAATTAATGCCATCCAACAAAAGGGTCTTTGCCCTTGGAGTATTCAACCTTTCGTTGCAGATTCTCGCTTTCAATTTCAGTACAATCCAGGTTGGAGCTTGGACTGGACCCGTAGATCCAAGAATGGAGTTGCTCATGCACTTGCAAATTGGGCCTCTACTCATATAGGCACCACATCCTCTTTTCTTTACCATGATCTCCCTTCTAGAGTTAAAAATATTGTACTAGTAGAGTCTTCTTTTATATTTTGCTCTAGTGTAGGTAATGCTTCCTTTTTGTAATTTCTTTGTTTGCAATATAAAGTTTAATTTCTAGCAAAAAAAAAAAAGCCGGTCCTTTTGTGGTGTCAAGAGCTTGATTTCAGATTTTCTTGCACATTTTGTCTGTATTTTTTAAGGCAATACGGAGCGATACCCTTAGGGAAATAAGTGCAACGTGCACATCCTTGATTTTCCCAGTCTCAATTATTTGGGCAAGGTAATGTTTTATCCTTATGGAAAGTTGGTATCATTCAATCATTATCATAGGGATTACGGATTTTCACTTTTTTGGTGAAACATTACCATAAACGGTACATCTCACATCTTTAACCAAACAAAAAAAAAAACGGTACATCTCACATCTGCGTACTCCAGAAGGGATATAGAGATTAGTCTCTCTTGCCACTATCTTATCAATCCAAAGGAAAGTGAGACCTTATAAGGCACAAACAAACACCTTATAGCTTGGTTGGCACAAAGGGTCTATCTTATTTCATCTGAATTTCACAGAGGTAATCTTTTTCTAGGGGGAACTCTTCACTGTATTCCAGTGGAATAAATAATTAAATTAGGGTTTTTTTTAAAGAAACTAAAAGATAGATCCATGCATTGATTCTGCCATTATTTTTGAGCTTTTTTCAATCCCTACACAACCCTGTAAGCTCAACCCCAAGAGTTTTTAGTTCTCATTTTTTGACACTTATGACATTCGTTAATGATATACTTTATTCAAGAAATGTCAAACGATCGAATCTAAATCACTCTTTTTTTATTACCACGAGACACACGTTGGCCAATTGGGTCCTCAGGAGCTACAAGGACCATGTGCCTGCATTTACACAAATGATTAATAAATCCGCCAAACTGTCCATAAATACCTTTTGTGTGTGTTCGAAGAAGCAGTACAAGCCACACTCCAACTCCAACTCATAGTCAAACTCAAATCACTTTCTCGGAGCGAGAGAGCTAGAGAGCGAGAGAGAGATGGGAAGGAGGCCATGCTGTGCAAAAGAAGGGCTGAACAGAGGAATATGGACTGCTGGAGAAGACAAAATCCTCGTCGACTACATTCAAGCTCACGGCGAAGGGAAATGGCGGGACCTCCCTCAGCAAGCTGGTTTGTACTACTATACCGTGCGGTTTCTGTCGCGTGCTTTATGTTTTCGTCGTCATGGAAGTGTTAAGATGTAACTGTCTCTGTAAGGTTTCACTACTTCAATGAAATATATTGCGCGCCTCAACTTTCATGACGAATGACAAACCGGAATACCGTCCTTGTTATTCACACATTTGGCATTCTTTTTGTAGGGTTGAAACGTTGCGGGAAGAGTTGCAGATTAAGGTGGTTGAATTATCTAAGGCCAGGTATCAAGAGAGGAAACATCTCCATGGATGAAGAAGAGCTCATTATCAGACTGCATAATCTCCTGGGCAACAGGTGACATTATCCCCTAATAATCACTCTCTACTACTATAAAAGACAAGTTATAAAAGACTTTGTTCTTTATATGGAGATCTTGTCTCCAAAATAGAAACCTAGAATTCTTGGAGCACTATCTCTTCAAATCTATCAAATGCAGTCATTCAAACATTGGTGCTTTTTCTCACCAATACTCACTCTCAAATGCTTTACAATTTTCCCTTTAGGCTCAACGATACAGCACTCAAGTCACCTTGGGACTTTTCTTCTCGTTCTACCACGTGCAAAATTTGTCAGCCCCCAGTCATATTTCTGTTTCTTTTAATCTTTTATGAAAATCAAGTAATCTCGGACAATTTCTAAGATACAAAAGCTCGCATGCTGTCATCTAACGGTCAACATTTGTCAATTATTCGACATTTTCTCTTATCAATCAGCGTCACCCTACGACTGATAATTAATGTCTCTCTTCTCTTATGTACTTCTATTGTCAAATATTATTTTCTCAGCCACTTTCCTTCTTTTGGGGATCTCGGAGTACAAAGTCTGCAATTTTTCACAGCTAGGACCAAATCCCGTATCCATTAATAATCAAGGGAGAAGTTAATGAGGGATCTCCACTGATACCCAAAAACAAAAATCAAGAATAGATCTTCCACGTTGCTCTGGTTAGGTTTGTGCTTTCTTTAGCAACAAGCAATCTCACTTCGAGTTGTAGGGCTTTACTGATAAATTAATATCACTCACTGCTAGGAAAACAGCAGCATTGTCGGCTGTTGCACTGCTTAAAAGTTACCTACGCGATTCATCAACTTACTTTTGACAAACAGGATGCACCAAAGTAAAAAATAGCAAGGTAGCTTAATTTGCTGAAATGCGCCCATTGCAGGTGGTCGTTAATAGCTGGAAGACTCCCTGGACGAACAGACAATGAAATAAAGAATCATTGGAACACCAACCTTAGCAAGAGGGTGCAGGATCAGACACATCAAAATCCTGTCAAGTGGTCCAATGAATCGGAACCTCGGAGCGAACTGTCGAAGGAAGAGTCGCCATCGAGGTCAGAGCCACACCCAGTCATTCGAACAAAAGCAGTCAGATGCACTAGGGTTATCCTCCCACCCCCACTGATAGATCAAGTAGCTGGCAAGGCAACTTCGGTTCACAATTCAAATAGTGAGACCTCATCTTATTCATCAACTCGTCAAAGTGACTTATCTTCCGACTTTCTAGCCGATTTCAACATCGACGACCTTTTAATACCGGATGAAGCTCAAAATCTGGATTCGTGTTTTCCTCTTGAAGGGGAGAAGGTTGATTGCTATCCTTCCGATCTAACTCTGTCCATGCATGATGATGCCGAAGGTATCCGCTCGGAAGGTCTTGAGCGATGGAGGGACACTGATGAGCCTTTTCAGCCGAATGCAAGCTTTGATTTCAATTCATTGGCATCATTCCTTGATTCAGATGTGGATACGATTTAGATGGATAAGACATTATGGCCACCATTTGATTAGCCATTCATGCAAGGCTTATAATGTACTTCATAGGAAGAGCAAATTGTTGAAACTTTGATTTCATGTATCTTTGAGGATCTATTGCAACTGAATTTTAAGGACGATTCCACAGTTTCGTTCTTTAAAAAAAATGAAATCTAATTTTTTTATGTGGGTAATTTTTTTGAGTGAGATCACTATCCACATGATTTTTTTTATATTGGTAGTTTTTTTGAGATTTTGTGAGATCACTACCTTATCTAAAATTTAACTTAAATGAATGTATGTTTTGATATTTTAATTTTCTAACACTCCTTCACGCTAGTAGAGGTGGCCATGAATATGAAAAGCCGTTTTGATATTTTAATTTTCTAAAATAAAATAATAAAATTTTCACGAGAGCAACAGGATTTTTTTTATATTGGTAGTTTTTTTGAGATTTTGTGCGCGGCGTTTTATTACGGCTACGCCCAACGGGCGTTTAAAAAAAAACATATATGTTTTATTTTTTTAATTCTAAATTTTTTCTATTTTTTTCCTATAAATTCTCTCAAATTCTCACAATACACACACAATTCTCTCAAATTCTCTTCTCTCAAGTCTCAAATTTTCTCAATACTCGAAATTCTCTCAAATTCTCGAAATTCTCTCAATTTTCTCAATCCACAATTCTTTCTTAATTCTCCCATTAATCCGCTCAATTCTCTCAATCCATTCGAAAAATGACAAGTGGAAGTCGAGTGCCAACGGCAAAGGTAAGAATATCGCGACGGAATCCCATCATTCTTTTGATCCTCGTGAATATGCAGATTTTCAAGATGATGAAATCAACATTTTTCGCGATGTGGAGTGCGTCCCGACGCAAGAAAGTTTTCATCCTCTTGCTGAAATATCTACAACAAAGGAAGCGGAACGGGAATTTTCATCTCGACATTTGGAATCACTTCACGAAAATGAAAAGGTTTGATATCGGTCAAAAAGGTATGATATAATTTGTAAATATTGTGGAAAATATATAAATATACAGGTGGACAGGATATGAAACATTTAAACGACATCTTATGAGCAAACATCCAACCGAAACGGGAATCGATATCGGGCAACAACAAATTTTCGGTACGTCAATCCTAACACTTCCCCTTTATTTCGTTTTAATGAAAAACTTATAAGGAAGAATTAGGCAAATTTATTTCCGTTGAGCATTTAGCATTTAATTTTGGAGAAAGATTTGGTTTTAATGAATTTGTACAAAAAGCATGTGCTCCACAAGCAAAACGTGTTCCTAGAAATTCAATTAAACGAGTAATTAAAGATCTTTACAAAAATGGAAAAATGATTTACAAAACTTTTTATGCAATTTAATGGATGCGTGCATATAGGTAGTGATATTTGGAGTGATCATTGGCAAAATCATTCTTACATGGGCATAACATGTCATTGGATAGATGACGAGTGGACTATTCAAAAAGAGTTATTGCATTTAGAGTTTTCGATGATCATCATACGGCAAATAATATTTATAGAATAATTAGGCAAGTTTTAGAAGAATATTATTTGCTTAACAAAATTTTTCAATTGGTTTTGATAATGCCGCAAAGAAATACCGCTTCAATTGCCGAGTTAGAAAATATTTGTAAACCTCGCTTTTGGCGAAAAAAATTTTCACATTAGATGTGCTTGTCATGTTTTAAATTTATGTGTACAAGATGGTTTGAAAACTCTTGATATTTTTCTTCAACCAACAAAACGGCGATTCAATTTTTATGGAAACATCCCAAAAAAATGAAAGAATGGGGTAAATTTTGTAGAGATAATGGCAAAAGCCAAAAAGATTTCCAAGAGATGTTCCAACTCGTTGGAATTCTACTTTCCACTTGCTTAATGAATCTTTATCATATAAAGATTTATTATGTGCATTCATTTCTAATAATATACCTCAGATTAATTTATACCACAAGAGTGGCATATTTGCCAAAAATTTTAGATCTTTTAAAGGTTTTTAATGATGCAACTTATACTTTGTCTCGGTGTTTATTATCCTACTACACATTTATTTTTAGTAGAGTGTACTAATATTGTCGGAATTTTTGATGAATATGAAAATGATGTTGAATTACAACATACTATAGTTGCAATGAAAATGAAATGGCTTCATTATTATAGTGAAATTCCCATGATTTATTTAGTTGCTTGTGTTTTTGATCCGCGTTGCAAATTGGATGGCTTAAATGATTTTTGCGTGCGTATTATCAATGTTTACATTATGATGTGACAAATGTTACAACCATAGTACGTGAGGTTAAAAACGTAGTAATAGAATTATATAACGAATTTTATACTAAATATAATTTAGGTGATATTAGATCTTCTCAATCTACGGAGATACAAAATGACAATACAGTAAAATTAATAGAGGGTACCAACTTTTATTACATAGACAAAAAAAACAAAAGGGAGTAATAGGAAATATTTTAATTAGAGAGTTATCTAACCATTTTAATGAGATCAGCCGGGGCAATTTTTTATTTTTTGTGGAAGAGCACTCAAACCCAATCCTTTCTCTTATCGTTTACCAATTCTATTTGTCTCTCTTGCAAATACCTTACATTTATAAACTCTTATATGAATTAGCCAAATCTTTAACGACGGAGATACTACCGCTACAAAAGATCGGTAATCGAACGGTAGTGACGATTGAGAGGTAAAAGAACTATTGGAGTTGGCAAATATTTCGAAATTGGGACTCTTGTTTCTCATACGGGTATGCCCACGTGAGCTTAGGGAACCGAAATATAATCCGACGATATGTGACCTTCTGGTCCCCCGCGCACGGAATGCTTAGGTTTTGGGATAATTTTAGGGTATATATATTGTACTCTTTTTTTAAGATCGTTGTAACGAATTGTAATGTGCTTAATGATAATTTATTAAGTTGAAGCCCTCTTTCTCTCTTGTCTTTTTGTCCCCAAATTTGAGTACAATTTACATTTTAATCACAATTTATATTGAATAATGTTCTATCACAAGAATAGTATTTTTTTTTATTTTTTTTTATTTTCATTTCTGTTTTTCCTTTTCTGTTTTTCCTTTTCTCTTTTGTCTTTTTCCTTGTTTCTGTTTTTTTTAAAATTATAATTTATATTTTAATTTTTTTTTCTTCCTCCGCGGCCGGCCATGGCCAGGGCCGCGCGGAGGTTGTCGGCGTCGGGCGGCGGGGGCCCTCGCCGGCGTCGGCGCGCGGGGCCCTCGCGGCGGGCGAGGGCGGCCCTCGCCTATCCAAGTTTCATTTGAATTGCTTGCTTATATTTGCAAACTTTTCTATTGAGTTGCCAACTTTTATTCACCTTACTTACAAACTCATTCAACTTGCCAACTTTTATTCACCTTACTTACAAACTCATTAAACTTGCCAACTCTTTTTAATAATTACTAACCTTAATTAGAGCAATTATTAAATGTTTTAACTTACAACAAGTTTTGAATTATTTACTTTTATTTTAGTAAGTAACCGAGGGTTAATTGGTTCATTTTATATTACCAATTTCTTTAATCTCTAATAAAAAATTCTTATAATTTAAAACCTTTATTAACTTTTCTTATCATCACCAAAAATTTACTAATGACTATATTTACCTTTTATAATATGAAAGTACCCATTTTTATTAGAGCGACTTAATTATTACTTTTCTCCAATTAAGTTACTAACAAGTTTGTGGTTACCAACTCTATTTGAGTTACTTATACCAACTTTTATCATTATTTTATATTTTATCAACTATTCTATTGAGTTATCAATTTTAATTGTCTTGCTTGCCAACTTTTTGAATGTTCTAAATCTTTTTAGAAAGTACCAACAATAATTAGAGTGATTACCAACTTTTCTGCTACCAACTTCCATTTGAGTGAGTTACAAATGTTTATTTGATTTTTTAAAACACAAACTCTCTTTTCTCTAACAAAACAAGTTTCCCTTATCTTTCACCAATTATTTACTTGTATTACCAAAGGCTTAAGTTTAAAGAGTAATATAAATGAAATTATCAACCTCCATTTGTGTGATTACATACTTTTATCAAATTAAATTACCAATTTGTTTTAGGGTACCAACTTTTATTCCTTTGCTTACATACATGTATTTGTGTTTTCTTGAATTTATTAACTTTTCTATTAAGTTGCCGCTTTTAATTGCTGTGCTTACCAACTTTTTAGATTTTACCAACTCTTGCTATAAATTATCAACTTCAATTGGAGTAATTACCAATTTTTCTTCAGTCAGTTTACCAACTTGTTTTGCATTATCATTTCTTATCTGAGTTAGTTACCAATGTTTTTGTGGTTTTTTAAATTTATAAATTTCTAACTTCTCTTATCTTTGATACAAAAGGTTAATCTTATCATTTACCAACTTATGTTACTTTTCTTAATAACACCTCAAGTGTACTAATTGTGATACAAAATTACAAACTCTTTTATGATTACGATACCAATTAGTTTTTGGTTACCATATCACATTTTGTTGTTTAGCAACATTTATTTTGTTTTTCTTTATTTACCAATTTTTCTACATAGATACGACTTTTATTTGTCTTACTTACTAACCATTTTCTACAATTAAACTACCAACTAATTTTGTATTATTAACTCTTATTTGAGTTAGTTATCAATGTTAATTTATTATTTCTTGAACTAAAAGCTTCTCTTCTATCTAACAAATTTTTTATTTATTTATCAACTTGTATTTAACTTTGTTACCAACAACATTATTTACCAGCTGTCATATAAATTTTCAGTTTTTATATGGTGATTTACCAACTTTATTTCCAATTATTAAACCCAATAGAGAAGTTGGTTAATTGAAAAAAAAAAACTTCGGTAACTAACTCAAATGAGAGTTGATAACCCATCATTAGTCGATCATTTAATTGGGAATAGATGGATAAATCATTTAAATTAAAACTAGTAATTTCATATGACAGTTGGTAAATTTAAGGTGTAATCAAGAAAGGAAAAAAAAGTATGTAAAATATAAGAAAAATTAAAAGAAATAAACTTGGAAAGTAACTTGTATGAGATGGGTAACCTAAAACTAGTTGGTAATTTAATAAGAGAAAAATTGTTAAGTCACTCTAATTAAGATTGAAAGTTTTTTAAGTGAGTTGGTAAAGTTAAGATATTGCTAGGAAATGCAAGTAAAAGTTCTAATGATAAGAAAAGTTAGAATATCAAACAAATGTCGGTTGAGTTCAAATGAAAGTTGGTAACTTAGTACTATGCGGAAATTTCAATGGCATAATAAGGTGTAAGTTATGTTAAATTAGGTTGGTAATCTCTATAAAAGTTATTAAATGTAATAGGCAAATAAAAATTGGTAACTCAATAGAACAACTGATAAATAAAAAAAAAGTTTCAATATTGGTAAGTAACTTAAATAAGAGTTGTTAACCTAAAACTAGTAATCAAACAAATGTTGTTAAATTACCAATCTTAGTGCAGACGAATAGCATCCGCATTCCAATTTTTTTTTTCTGGTTGATACATTCCCAATTAAAACTGGAAGAAATTTTTTTTTTTTTGGATGAAAAATTGGTGTGAGAGAATAAGAACTAATCCTGGATCATCTTACTGTAGCTCCGATTAACCATACGGAAGATATTCTTGTAGAGCCAATATACTTCGTAATGAAAAAAAAAAAGCATGGCCTGTGGGAGAGAGAGAGAACGCCGGCCGAAAGAAAAGAAAAAGTATGGTTTGACACGTGCTACAAGCGTCGTTCATCCGGCGACGAGGTAGGCGATGCCGTAGTCGATGCCAGTAGGCAATGCCGTATGGAATTGATGTTAGATATTTCATTAGTTTTGAAATAGTTTTTCAACGGCTTTGATAGAAGTTATGATCACCATGAAAGCCATCATTTTGTAACAGCCGTAACGGCTTTATAAATGTAGCTTTATGACGGTTTTTTAATTTTTGATTTATTTCTTCATAAACCCTCAATTATTTTACAATGGCTTTATAACAATCATCTTTTTAATAATTACCAATTGATTTATGACGGTTTCTTAACGCCTCTCTTCTTTGTTTGAATATAAAATTAATCTTCAAACCACAATCCTTTAATATACATCGAATTAAAAAGATATATATATATATATATATATATATATATATATATATATATATATCAAAACAAAATATTCTTGTTTCTCTTTTTACATATTTTTCCTATTTTTGTTGGGTTATATACATAACGTTGTTTCTATTCCTTATATTATTCTGTGCAGAATAAAAAAATGTTGGTTGTATCTTGGGAGGATAGTTGTTAGAGCCTATCCCACCAAGTGTTGTATTCCGTGGGGCGGAGTTCTCATTAAGGTTAGTGTTTGCATGACTTTAAACAATTGATCTTATTTTCTCATTTTTTACAACAGATTTCCAATAATTCTTATTGATATTTTTCCAACAATTTTAAGGATAATTACCTTATGGATTCCCAAACTGGAACTACCGCTACTGAAATTAAAGGAGGGCTTGGAGATGATGAAGGATAAGTATCGCACAGTTATGGGCGGTTTATGGTGGACATTACGAGATATCTTAAAAATGCTCCGTGGATCCTTCGGCTCGACTACACTTGCTCCTCTGTGGAAATTGGCGACCACTTTGTCTCCTCCATTGAGGCTCGCCGTCACCTAATCTGCACTATCTTTGCATCACCATCTTAGCGGCTGCAACATCATTATCTTCATGGAGCAGCACTGGTTCAACTCCTACTGCCATAGAGTGACAAATCTCCACGATGGTTCCAACTTTAATAGTTCTTGAATTCATTATATCCGGTTGAAACTTCTTCAGATCTGTCATAGTTCAATCAAGTTATAGATCCTCATTCTCTGCTCCTTATCTGATCATTGCTATGAAATCAGGGTTAACTCCTTTCTCTTTCTTTGTTTTGAATTTTTGATTTCTCAAGTATTCAACCGCACTGATCTACTCGGTCTTTTCCTGAATTTCCAAAGGCTTCTTCATCGACCATTCTCCATCACCTTTTGGACGTTACCATCGCTGCTGATCATCAATGTTGGCCATTTCCACGGCCACGCTCTGTTCGCCCCTGTGGTTGGTTACCACTGCTGAAGAGCTTGTGGACACCACTTCCTTTTTCGATGATTCTGGTCCACAACGTTGTTTCTATGACTCCATTATTTAGGTTTTATCATTAATCGTCATACGTAATCATCTTCTATTCAATCTAATCACATATGCTCTATTCTTAGCAAAATAGAGTTAGAGAACTATAGTTTTGTTTATGTGAAAATCGATTACGATTGAGGTTGTTTTGATGATATGATTTCGTATTATTGCTGATTGTGATGATTTGAGATGAATTGATGTTTTAATTCTGCATATAACACCTCCGTTGAAATGAATTCCATAGTCATTATTGGCGATGTATTAAACTGCAGAATACACTTGATGGAATTACCTATATAAGTATGGAGTGGGGCAGCTCTCCTCCTATGAGGATTATTGGCAATAATTTCTAGAGCACTTATGAATAAACCAAGTATGCGCATGGCCTATTAGCACAGAGCCACGTTGAACAACAACCTTTGTGGGAGTGCAATTTGATTGGTGAAAGTTATAATTCACAAAAAGAAATTCTTGGCTCAAAGAAGTTTCAAACTTCACCTATGATTTCGTGAATTCTATATCTTTCTTTCTAGGTCTAGTTCATAGTCTAACAAGCTCCAGTTCCGATGCATTACACTCTAATAACCCATCGTTATTAGTTTTTTTTCAAAACCTTTTGAAATATGTGTGGGATCATTGGATATTTCAACTGTTTTGAAATATTTTTTTGACGACTTTGGTAGAAGTTATGACCGTCATGAAAGCCATCATTTTGTAACGACTGTATAACGTCTTTGTAACGGTCTTGTAATGTTTGATTTTTTTTTCATAAACCCTCCATTATTTTACAACATCATTATAATGGTCATCTTTTAATAATTATTAATTGATTTATAACGATTTTTTAATGGCTCTCTCTTTCGTTGGAATATAAAATTAATCTTCAAACCACAATCCTTTAAGGTACCGAATTAAAAAGAGATATAGATATATCAAAACAAGAATAGTTTTACATATCTTTCCTATCATTGCTGGGTTACACACATAACGTTGTTTGTATTCTTTCTATTATTTTGTTCGGAATAAAGAAGAATGTCCCTTGTGTCTTGGGAGGATAGCCGCTAGAGCCTAGCGCCTTGAGTTTGATACTCCAAGGCGCATAATTATCGTTAAGGACGGTGCTTGCATGCCTCAAACAATTGACATTATTTTCTCATCTTTTTCAACAAAATTTCAACAATTCTTATTTTCCATATTATCTAATATTTTTCCAACAATTGAAATGCCAATTGCCATTCTCATAGCTGGTGTAACAAATAAAAAAGAAAACAAATTAATACCACAAAATATCCCAAACAGGTACACTCGTGCCACATGTACCCAAAACAAATTTTCATGTCACAAAAAATCACAAATTGGTACGTCCGTGCCACATTTATCCCAACTTAATATTCGTATCACAAGAGATCTCGAACCGGCATATCCGTGGCACACCTACCTCAAACACGAGGACCAGTTTACCGGCTCGAGACTTTTCGTGGCATGAAGTTTAGTTTGGGGGTAAATGTGGCGGGAATGTATCGGTTTGGGATTTCACGCGATGTGAAAATCAGTTTGGAGTGGACGTGGCACGAATGTACCGATTCAAGATTCTTGATGGTATAAGACGAAAAAAAGGTATTAAATGTGATTGGTCGGCTGGGGCCATGATCACATGTGGATTTGGTACCCACACGGTCGAGCCCTACAAACATATGGCCAACAACAGCTAGTGGTGCAAAATTCATATTTTCACCTTTCTCAATAAAGATATTCAATCATGCATGCACGACGATGCATGGAAAAAGAAAATCTGACAAGAAAGGAGATCGCAGAGGCACTATTTGTTTATGAACCCTGTCGTCGCCTCCAAAATTTAATCACATAAATAGCATATCGAGATACAATTTTCAACTCGATCATCTAGATCTGATTAAGGCGAGACTTTCTTTTAATTAGAGAATTTGCCCCCTTTGTTCAGAGCGTTTGAACGTATCTGACCCTCTTATCCCATGCTTAATTTTTAATTCGTCACGTCACCATATAAATTCGTAAAAATTAGCGATCGCATCTCTCTAGAATTTTCCCGATTGGTGATGCTTCCATGGATGGAACATGGACGGTCCAAAATCGTTGGTGGGTCATTGGGAATGCCCCGCACCAAACTTTCAAGAGCGCTCGAGAAGGTTAGCTTGGGAGAAGATCATACAAGGAAGGGCAGATACAAGCGATGTGGAAAGCTCAACTCCCCGTTGAATACCGCTCGTGTTATTTAAAAAAACAACGACGCATGTAGTTGTTATTTCTGGTCAAAGCATACGTACTGTATACCTTCTTTTTTTTTTTTGGGTCGGATCCGTGATGTGTACTTAGCCAGCGAAAAAAGCGGTGAAAGAGAGAGAGAGATAGGAGGGAGAGGGACCGTGCTCTGACGATGGCCAGCACGGCGAGCTTTTTGTTGTCCATGGCGACGGCTCTCCTCCACAAGGGCTCGGGACCCCTCGCATTACGTGGTTTGGCTTTCGCTGGTGTCACACGTCGGCATCGAGCGGCCATCAAAGCGGCCAAGATGCCCTCGCAGGCGGACACAACACGTTTTGGATGTGAAGTACGAGCTGGGAAATACATGAAATACATTAACGGTGGAGAAGTGAAGGCTGAGGTTTTCTACTTTTAGGACCACCGTCCCTGATGTTTGGAGCCGTCCGTGCTGCCACGATGAGGATATGAAGAAATGGTCAAACCTGTACGTACTGTCGTGTTCCATGTCCCGTTCGTATATCAATAAATTATGGGGAAGGTTACCGAAAAAGGTTCTAAACCTATTGCACTTATGCCAATTCAATATTAAACCTTTCAATTGTATCAATTCAGTCCTAAACCTATTGAGGATTTGCCAATGTAGTCCTTCTGTTCAATTTTGATCGGAAAACGCTGATGTGGTGGTCCAGTCAGAGCCGGCCGTCCTATGTGGAGTGGTCGGTGTTGACGTGGACATATTTTTAATTTTTTTTTGGATTTTTTTCCTTTTATGTTTTTTTCTTTCCTTTTCGCCAGTGACCTACTGGTCTCAGGCAATGGCCGGAGATAGGCCGTGGGCAATGCCCAGGGAGGGCTGGGCGAGTGCCGCCCTCGCCGGCCACAAGTAAATTTTCAGCAATAGGTAATTCCACCAATTAATAGGTAAATTTTCAAAATATGCTAGCAATTTCGTGCTAGAGACATTTACTTTTGCCTCAGCAACTTTCCAAATTTTTCAGTGTATCCGTGTTTGTTTTATAGAATCGTCCATCATTACCTTCAGTGAAATAGAGTCGGCATAGGATTAGATCGGTTCATGTTGGCAATGGCAAGTTAAAATCTAGCGCATCGCTCCTAATCATGCAACCAACCGGAGCCAAAGCCAAGAAATTTTAGATAGTGATTTTATATAAGTGCTCCAAAATTATATGCTTGTCTCGTATACGACAGGTTTTGTATTACGCCCTTATTGAAGAAATACTCCGTGACCGAAAATACAAGAAGAAATACCAATTTGAATTTGTAAAGTCAATATACATTGTCTGAGGTCTTATTCATGCAGATATTATTTGCGCAATCAAAATGGTCCCATGATAACTAATGGAAGACGACCCACTTGAATATCCACAAAAAAAAATTGGCACGTTGATTTTAAAGGCATGGGGGACCACGCCAATTGGGGGTGGGGACAATTTCTCAGTTTCCTAATAATATACGTGATGCAATGAATTACCAACAAAAAACCAAAAAAAAACAAGCTACGCTTATAAGTACGGGCCTGTCCAAGATCCGAGGGAGCATAGGAGACGGAGACTCAGAAAACACGTACGTCCACCCAACAACTGCTACAGTTTCTTTCCTTCCCACTTGGAGAGACTGGTTCGATACTCGCGCGCGCGCGCAACGAAGCCAAAAGAGTTAGCACAAGAATGGGAAGAAGCCCTTGCTGCGAGAAGGAGGGCTTGAACAGAGGAGCCTGGACAGCTCAGGAGGACAGGATTCTCACGGATTACATCCGAGCCCACTGCGAGGGAGGCTGGAGGAACCTCCCCAAGAAAGCAGGTAAGAACACCGGCGCATTCGCTTTGGTTTTCTGGAAGTAGAGACAGGGCTTGATGATCAAGAATGTTCATGGGGGTCGTCTGGGTAAATTCCTAGAAAGCCTCACGAGAAACCGTGTTTTTCTTTGTTTGTCCGAGACAGGCTTGAAGAGATGCGGCAAGAGTTGCAGGCTCAGGTGGTTGAATTATCTGAGACCCGACATCAAGCGAGGCAACATAACCGCGGACGAGGAGGAGCTCATCATCAGGCTTCACAAGCTCCTGGGCAACAGGTATCGACCTTGATTGCTCTTCGTTGATTCCCTTCCTGTTTGTAATGCTGAGAATTAGTGGAAAATCCTCCGGAAGGTGATAATTACTGTACATGGATTTGTTTTTGCTTTGGTCAGGTGGTCTCTGATCGCGGGGCGGCTCCCAGGGCGAACAGACAATGAAATAAAGAACTACTGGAACACCATTGTGAGCAAGAAGGTGAAAGACCAGCCGAAGCCAACGAAAGAGACCAAGATCATGAAGTCCAAGATCATAACCAACTCTCAACCAGCAACCCAAGTGGTGAGGACCAAGGCCCTGAAGTGCTCCAGGGTTTTGCTCCTCACTCCTCCCCAAGCCCGCCCCCAAGTCATGCACCAACAACAACAACATCGCTGCCTGGACACCGACACGGCCACCCAGACCAATGCCGTGCCCATGGCGAAAAACAAAAATGCAGATGGCAAAGTACCGTGTCTCGCTGGTGGAGAAGATCATCTAGCAATGGACTTCGATTTAGGCGAGATCGACTTGGCGGAACTCCTGAACTCCGACTTATCGGACAAGTTTCGCTGCTTCGACTGTTGCAACTATGGCTCCTACAATAATACCTCATCAACTTCTTCTAATTCCTCTTCCGAACAAGCGATGATGTTTTCAGAGGAGCTGGTGCAGAGTTGGAACCTCAGTGGGTGTGCTCATGATCAAGCAAATGTGGGGTCCAATCTTCAATCCCTCTCCCCATTTCTCGATTGCAATAAAGGGGAATGGCTGTCAAGTGGAATAATTTGAATAAGGAGAGGGACTTCTATAGAGTATGTAGCAATGTATACAGTGGCAACTGCAGAAAATAAAATAAAAGAGAAGACTTTGGTGGAGGGTATCACATGAGCATCGCAGCTTTGTCAACTAGAAGTATTGTGGTTTAATTTTTCCAAGGTGAATCTAATCTATAACCTAAACCTAGATAATAAAGGTGAACAGCATAGCTGGCCATTCTACTTTGATTTCTCGTTAGAAATTTACATGATAGTTCAGCTATTATGCCTGATTTCCTGCTTTTCACATTCGAAGGAAAATTTAGCGTATGTGCCAGTACAATCTCTATATTCGCCATGAGAAATAGTTACGAATTCACGTGTATGTGTTGGGGAAAATCGTGCTAGGAGCGTGCCAAAGAGACGTTGGTGAAAATCGACCCCGTGCCAAGACAATCTTACTTCAAACTAATGGAGAGGGATCATGGTCACTCCACAATTAATAATTGAGGTTTTGGAACTTGTGGTTCTGATCCATTGCTTTTGAAACTTGTTCCGACAAAGTAATAACAAGAAAAGGCGATCTGTCATTTCATAATGATGTATAATGTCTAAATTGGGTTTAGCATAGTTTTTAAATAGGAAAATAAATTTTTTTGTGACGGAGGTCTTTTTTGGCAAAAGCTTGATGAACAAATGAGAGTGCATGTGATGCCAAAGTTATAGGTTTGCGGGCATTGACAGGCGACCGGAAAAGTGTGCATAGATACCGTACTTTTTATCGAGTCCACTGCCGGTGAGCATTCTTTCGTAATTAGCGCTGTCGATCTCAATTGGAGTATAGAAGTTCCACTGCTGCAACAATTGTTTTACTGATACACAAACAATGATTGGGAATTAGTGGAACTTGTGAAATTTTTTTCTCCATCGATGATTAGCAGAGTAGACCTACCAAGAGATGCATCAGTGGGTTGTTGACCAATTCGTCTGTCTTGGTACGTATCCCACCAAAAGAATGGGGTCAGATGAAGTGACACGTTTTTGCAGAAGGAGGAACCTTGATTACCTCTAATCCTAAGCTTTTATGTACCCTTTTGTCTAGTGGTTACGGCCAAAAGGGAAAAGTATGGAAACTTTAGAACGTGTTATGACTTTTGATATTCATTTGGTTTTTTATATAGTATAGATATTCCATAACCCAAAGAGATAAGTATGCCTCTAGATGGGATGATCGTAAGTAGATTTTTGAAGAAATCAGTAAGTGTCAGAAAACTGTTGGTAATTTTTTTTCTTTTTGCTGATCATCTGCTTGCCAAGCAATTTATTTATAATTTACAGACATTTATATGAATTTACCGATGTTATTTTGAATGACTTATCAGTTCTTTTTCTAATTAAATAACCAGCTTTTCTTTTTTGGATTACCAACCATCATTGGAGTTACTCACTATCTTTTAATTTATCAACCTTTTGCATATTTCATCGACTTTTGTTTGTTTTTCTTACAAACGCCTAAAGTTTATTAACTCTCACACGAATTTACCCATCCTTATTCATATGACTTGCATACTTTTCTCTCATTGGATTACCAACATATTAGATGAAACGATATAATTCTCAAAGTTAAATAACCTAAAGATGTTTTTGGTTCCCTCTCTTTTTGTTTAGTCTTTATTAAGGCAAAATTTAACATCGATCGAATTTCTTTTTTTATAATGAACTGAAAAATTATTGAAATCAACATAACTCTTTCACTCTTCCAAACGCGCAGTGATAAGGAAAAGTACGAGTAAACACTCGCGGAACGCATGCCGGAATAAGTACACCCACAAAGTGCATAGAAAATAATCTCACAATTTTTTTATTAATTCAAAGGACAAGTTCAATTACATTGAAAATAAAGTTTATATTTATACGTGTAAAACCACAAGACTAGAAAACTTGGCTAGTAATATCAAATAAGACATCATGACTACAATTTAAAACTAAATACGGAAACATCAAATTCAAAGATTCTACACTAAATAAATATACTAAATTAACTTAATTAAAATAAAGGGAATGTCAAACTCTAATATTCTAAATCTACCAAAGGTACAAAATCTTCATCTACTCCGCTTCGCTTTTGCCTCTTCGATGTCCTCATATTAGTTCAAAATCTGCAAAATATCCCACCTAATCTCCCAATGTTTCCTAGAAATATTCTGAGTAGCTTCCGTTGTTGTACTCCAGTCAAAAGAACGTGCCGCTGGAGTAGATGAGACCACACATGGTCGGCTTCTTTCATATATTATAAACAATCGAACCTGGCCTAAGAAGATGACCTTTCTCAAAACTACATTCACGGTCCATATTAATCGTCTGCAAAACCCTAAACATATTGTGAAAATGATATCTGTATTATTTATTCCGCCACACCACACCACCCCCCCCAATCCCATGGAGACCATACCACCAAAGTGTGCTGCTAGATATTCATTATAACATGTACCTAAGGGCTAGATGCTCAGTAAATGCCGACACAAGACCTTGAAAAATGACCACGGAAACATTATGGAATTCATGCTATGAGATGGTCTACATGATATATGCCCAGGTGATTATTCAAACAGGTGCCCCATAACGTTAATTAGTTCATGACTTGTGTATATCACTAGTTAACTACATACCATTTATATTTCGAGCTAATGCTAGATTAGGGCTAGCATCGTAGACGCGTTTCGCGACCATCAAGAGGGTATACTGTTTATCTTGAAGATGATTACTCATAACAGGTGTTCATTAGCTTTAATTAGTTCATAACTAGTTAACTACATAAGGTTTATATTTCGAGCTAATGCTAGATTAGGGCTAGCATCGTAGACGCGTTTCGCGACCATCAAGAGGGTATACTGTTTATCTTGAAGATGATTACTCATAACAGGTGTTCATTAGCTTTAATTAGTTCATAACTAGTTAACTACATAAGGTTTATATTTCGAGCTAATGCTAGATTAGGGCTAGCATCGTAGACGCGTTTCGCGACCATCAAGAGGGTATGCCAATTGAATGTCCTCATCGCACAAGCCAAGCCATGGAAGAATCCGATTAGGAGACGACGTAGCCCTCCTTCTTAGCTGGCGCGGTTTCAAGATTGCGAACCATCGAGCATGGTTTTAGAGATGCATAATCGAGAACACGCGGTAGGCATCATAGGTCTAACAACTTATGTGAGTCAAATCCCGTTTAGGGTATGAACACTCTCGATGACAAAGACTTTGTTATATATGACCGAGAACTAAATTCAACGACGATATATTTTGTACGTTTACTTTCTATGTCCATGAAAATCGTTTTTCAAGCGTTAGGTATCCTAGATTCACGCAGCCTTGTCATCGTTTACTGCACTTCAGTGTGGACCAACCCAAGTCTATATTTGCCAGGTTATCTTTGGTCCCAAGACCATGGAGCCTTGGATGCTTTTGTTTTTGCACCTAGTCTTTTACATGTAGTCCAATATGAGATTGGGACCCAAAAGCGCGTCAATGACAGAGTACGTGCTCCATCAGAGCAGTGGGATTGGTATCTAGATTGCAGAGCCAAAAAAGAAGAAAACAAAAGGAAACCTAACTCCAATGTCATTGGACAGGGGGGCAGGTGTTTTATATAAAAGAAAACACTCTTTGCAATGATGGCCAGCACGTGCCACGGGGGAACACCACCTCCTGGTCCTTGGTCCTCTTATTCAAACCGTTCAACGTCTTGTCTCTTCGCGAAATAATAAAGTTCAGCACATGCTCATTGGGGGGACGCCTACATCAAGGCAAAATCATTTGAGGGGGGTGGGTTGGGGCGGCGGGGGGTAGTGATTAAGAATCTAATTTATATTAAGGTTGATCTCTTTGTGATTAATTTAAGACGACATTGATTGATTATTAGACGCTTTATACAGCTATGGTGATGGTGATACGAATGTGGAAGAACATCTAGAAGCCCAAAAGAAAAGTACGAGTGATTTTGGCAGATGGGGTCGTTAATTATTGGCGTAATGTCATCAGGGAGGGTCCCTCTATTTTGATTCGAAAATTTCAAACCATATGCTTATACGTGTTCTTTTTTGGTCAAGTGTTCGTGCATCTTTTAAAAGGTGTTATTGATTGTGCCCCAGTTGTTTAGAAGAAGAAATTCGTTAGGGTAGCGTTAACGAGTTGAAAAATTTGGCTATACTTTGATTGACCATGATGTTCATGAGCACGAGGTTTGGCGAGGTCCGGAGCTCGAGCGGCCAGAGCGGCTGTGAGCCCAGAGCTTGATCGCTATGGCCCATAGGTAGGAGATTTGGCGAGCTTCGAGGCTTGCGGCCATGGTGAAACCCAAGGAGAGAGTATATGAGCGATGATGCGCAGAAGACATAGATGTTGGCATTCAGGGCGAAACTCCTCATCTCCGACGAGCTCGCAAGGAGTTCCCCAATTTTCGCTGCCTATTCCACTAATTCTCAATTTCCAAATTGAATTCAGCCACTTACTCGCATGTCCCCTTTTGCACAGCTTTCTTCAACAAGATTTCACATCATCTTGATGAGATCCATTTTTTTAGGTTTTCGACGAGCTTATTAGATGAAGTACTCTCAAAAATAAAAATATTCTTGTTAAAGCCTTGACCCTTCAGATCAAAACACTTAAGCGCTTGTTTATAGGATACATTACAAAGCTATGCTCTCTGTATTTGGCAGTAAAGCATTTAAACATAGTCTAGGATGAGAAACTCTTCTCCATATATACATACATATATATGTATATATATATATTTGTTGATTTGGTGTTTAGTAAATTATCTCTCTCCATTTAAAAAAAAAATTAGCATCGTTGGCATCACATTAGTCAAATCAGCACCACATGCGCCAATCAAAATGCGACATGTGTCCTCCGATTATCCAACTTAGCCAACTCCACACCACGGCAGTCAAATTTAACTGAAGAACTAACGTTATATTTAAAAATAAATAAATAAATAAATAAAAGAGACCGATTTTGAAATAGAGTGACGGTTTTGAATTTTGGCCAAGAGTAAAGAAACTACTTGCGACATTATTGTTCAATTATTTACACCGTAATCTTGCGATGATGACATTTGAGTCTTAAGAAATCAAGAATAAGAAAATGATTAACAAAGAAGATATTGTCAGTTGCAGAGCCAACTACGCGATTGAGATTTTCTTAGGTGCCAAAAAAAAAATCTTTTACCCCTTTTGCCATTGTTGCAATGTATGATCTTCAACCATAAAATCATTATTCTCCATTTTTTTTTTGTATGTAATGATAATGTAGATGATATCCTGGATCAGAACTTGGACACACCCCACGATTCCGTATCGTAAATTCTGTGAAAAGCATGCTAATTCATATCAATATCAAGATATTGATAAGAAAGGACAAATGGACATTAAAAGTGTCAAAAGTTACGTATGACGCTCAATTTATTGTCAAAAGTTTTTTTTCGGATAACTTAAGTACCACTTTTAAAGAAAAAATATTACTTAAGTATCAGCTCCAATTTGAGTTGCTGGAAATCTGACATGACCATATTTTATTAATATCTCCAACTGACGTGGCTCGCCGGCGTGCTCATTCAGCATATTATTGCCTAAACGACATTGTCTTTAAGTTTTGCCCCAAATATAAACCTTAAATCGCAGCCAAGAACCTCTGTCGAGTGATTCCACCGCTCGATTTCGTCATCGCTGAGCATTATCTTTGCGAGAGTCTTAGAATCCTTCATTGATCTTCATTCATAACAGGTTACCATCCAAATTTCCTCGTGCGACGTCTTTTTTGCTCCCGGGAGTCGTGCGGCGCCGCTTTAGGCAAGCTACCCATGTCGGCTCATGCCACGGCGTTTCGGATGTTCACATGGACCGGTTTTTAATATAAAAAAAAGCCAACTCATTTTACAGTTTTTATTATAAAAGCTATGTTATATTTTCGGCTAGATTTTCTCATCGAAAGTACTTAAGTGATTGTTTTTTTTTTCCAATTTGGCACTTAAGTGAGCTAGCGAAAATTTTTAACACTAAAGTGAGCATCGTACGAAACTTTTGGCACTTATAATATCCTTATGCCGATAAGAAAAATCTTCCTGCTCGCAAAACTCGCCTAAGATGATGGTCAAGAAGAAATGATGGAGACTTCCTACTTTCTTTAGATGCGAAATTAACTTCCAAATGTTTTATCAATGGGATGGAATTCATCAGAATTGCACTTCCCGAATATCATGTAATACAGGTATAGTAATCTCTTGCACAACTGGTTTTTTTTTTTTGTATATAACTTTAGTCACAAATCTGTGTCTCTCTCTGTCTCTCTGGCATACGATTGATGTGCCCCTAACCTTATCTTCAGCGTGCCGTCCCCGCCACTGTCATACGTTACCGATAAATGTTCAGATGCGCCCCCCATCGACGTTTTTGTGGTTCCTCTCTCACACACAAACAAAACGCATGCGCACGCGCGAAGAGTACGAACTAGAGAACGACGACAATGATCACTGATAAAGCAACGACGATAGCCTCAGCGGCCGTAGAGTAGCGACGACGGCGGCGGCGAGTAGAGGGCCGCACTTGACCGAGGCGAGGAGAGGGAAAGATGCAGGAACGAGCCAGCGTTCTACACCGAGGCTATGTAACGTAACCCCTATTTAGATGTCAAATTTGCGAAAATATACTCGTTGAGGATGGACCAAACCATAGCCCTTTGCTTTGTACCAGCATCCACATTCATAGTAAAAGAAATCGACAGCCTACGTTTCGTTGACAACAGGACAGCAACAATCCTTGCGATGGTTAGGATAATTCAAATGCATAATGATTCAAGGCGGCTGGCAATAAAATCTGGTAGGCACCTTAGAGGAATCATCCAAGGACTACTACTGCTGCTGCTGCTACTATTACTTGGTATTGACAGCAACTTTCTGTTTTCTCTTTCCCTCCGTCCTTTTTGGCTTTTGGTTCCTCTTGGCTCTTCTGAAGCGTTTCATGTTGGCGCGATGGTGACGTTTTTGACGTTGAAAGATGTTGTCTCTGCATCCGTTGAGGAGGCATCATGTTCTGACCCTTTAAATGATCGGTCCGTTGTGTGTGTGGGTGTGGTGTATGTCACTAATCAATGCAATGGAAAGGTCGAGAAAGATTGGCATTATTGCACGGTAGGACAAGGGTTTTATTACAACATGGCCCCCGTTCAAATGGGTCCCAACAATGTCACCAATTCTGCTCGTTTTCTATTGCCAATTCGCAGGTGAACGACTTTGGAATCACCATACATCTTTTCAAATTTACAAATTCTTTCTGTAAAATGGTGATTTTTAATTGGTGACCGTAGTTTTTCAAAATGTAGAGAAATTTTCAAATAAGAGTCCGAAGTAGAGTGAATTTCTCAAATGACGGCTAAAGTGAATTTTGTTTCAAATAAAGTTCCGAAGTAGAGTGATTTCTTTAAATAAAGGCGCAAAGTGGACTTTGCTTCAAATAATAGCCTTTTTCGGCCGACGTGATTAAGCCTTTATTTGAGATTGACTTATTCAATTCATTTTTTTATGGGAAATTGACTCGTCCATTTCAACTCCTTATTTAAAACAATGTTCATTTTGGACTCTTTTTTAAGAAAAGATCCCATTTCAAGCTCTTATTTGGAGTTTTGCCTGAAATGTATTTGTAACTTTTGTTATTTTGTTTCTGACTTTCTTAATGATATGATAAAAAAATAATTAGAATAATTAGATTTACTTTATTGGAGCTAGACTTATCATTAGTGGTTAATAGAACTGACCAATGGATATAGCGTCAAAAGAAGATCTAGAAAGGAAAAAACTTTACTTTTCGTCCCTAAACTTTGGGGAAGTTCTCATTTTGATCCCACACTATTATATACGTTTTCATTTCAACCCTCATGTGCGGCTTGCTATCATTTTAGTCCCTCTCTTGGCGGGTATTTCAGTTGTTTAGTGGCAATTTTATTTTTTCTTTGGGTCAGATTCATGCCAAGTTGGTAAACGGCAGTGCTAACTGCAGTCCCAAATACACAAATTTTCCTCAATATGGTAAGTAAAGATCATTCAACATTGACAATGACCATAGCCCCATGGAATCGATTGCAGTCTTAATCGTGGTCACTGATAATGTCCTCAGCATCTCTTCTCTCTATTTCTCTATTCATCGACAAATCCGCCTTCTCTCTCCAACTCTCTCTCTATCTACCAATCTCAAAGACCGGTTGAGCCGGACTGGCTGTGCCCGCTACACCACCTGCCCTTAGTTGTGGCAAGATTCGGGTCGCGAGTTGCTCTATAAGCATAGACCTAAGCATGAAAATTATGTGGCGTCGACGTACACGAATAAAGCTGTCACATGACCTACCTTCCCCTTTAATGCTCCCTCATGTCTTTCTCCAGCATTAGAAGACAAGTTTTGCCAATGTCCTCATTTCTTGCTTGCTAAGTTTTTTGGGCCTTACAAGCAGGATAGGTGATTGGGCCTACAAGCTGAATGTCATAGACTCTTCAATTAGAGTGACATTGTCCCTTTGATTGGGAAAGAACAAAACTTGATTGTCTACGTGATGAAAAAAGGAAGCTGAAGGACAACAAGAGCAATTTGACCTCTCTCACTCACAGCCGAACTATTGTGGGAATTGTCAATTCAACTCCCCACCTCAACACCATAACCTCACGTTTACAAAATTTAATCATACGCTCACGCGTTATTGTGTTGCAAAAATGTACCTGAATGAAGGAAAAATGGTCATAATTCATTCATGCCATCTAATATTGAGCCCACATCTGGAGTCAGAATGGCGCGCTTATTGAGCTCCCCGACAACACAGAAGTGCTTCTCTGTTTTGTTGATGGCCACAACATCCTGAGCAAACACACAATCCAAACCCGAGGATACCTACACCGAACCCCAAATATAAGATAAGCATACATCCTTTTGCCCCTCAAGACCATAATGGTCTTAACTGATGATTCAATAGGAGAAAAAAGTTGCGATATAATCGTATTAGTTAATGCTCAAAATCAGTGGCATGAACATTGTCCCTCTGCATGCATTGAGAAACAAAATGATATATGAAGTGGGTTCTGAAAAGTACTCACATCGTAGAGAGTATCACCGAGCTTGAGCTTGACAGCACCACTTCTATACACTAGCATTTTACCCATCAACCCTGCTGACAACTCATCCAAACTGCAGCTTTTCTCCGAGCAACCCAAAACCTCGGAGGATGTTGAGCTTTCGGTTGTCTCGTTCCCTTCTGCAGCCGTCAAACGCTTTGCCATCGGGATTGTTGGAGGTAACTGAATAAAGAACATACTAGGTTCCAAACTTCCGTCATCCTGACTGTCCTACATTTGTCATGGCACTTTCCTTAGTTACGACTAGTTCAGATCCCAGTTGATTTTTACTCATCAAAATACTAACCATTAGGCCAAGTTCCGTGGCTGAGTTTAGTATAGTTTCATCATAAGTCACACTACTTGAGGCCTCCCCAAACTCCTCTTCATCAAGAAGTTCTGCAAGTAAAAACACAGTGTTGCAGATATTTTGGAGTTATGACAAAATCAATACATTGTGCTAATTATTTGTGAACTAAAAATGGTGACATATCAAAAGCCACAACTATGCCAGTGGATATAAAGGTATAATTAGGAGTTGTAAATTTTCAACTGAAATAAACTGGATAGTGTACCTGGATTTCCTGAATATGGTCTCCTTAGAGGAAGAGTTACAGGATAGTAACTGTAATAGTCCTGCCAAAGAGTTAAGTAAGAAAAGAAACTTTAATTCTTGAACAACTAACCAAGTAGAAACATGTCATTGCATGATTTACCAACCCATGGTTCTCTGTATTCTTTCTCCCCTCTCAGGCCGGGACCACTGGAACTACCTATAAAGACCACGAATCTAATAAGTTTGAAAGGATAATTGCAGCTTAAGTAAGCATGGAGGAGGCTAAGTTTTTGAGTCAGAAGTTGAACCTTGATATGAATTAACATTATTTTGATCCCTTTGAGCATGATATGATTTTAACGAACTTGAAGTCCCTCCATAACCAAATGCAATTTGCGATGGAGCCACTGTAAAATCCACAAGTCAAAACCCAATGTAACCAAATCCACAAGCCTCCATAACCAAATGCTTTCATTTATTTATGAAGGCAAAACCATACACTAGTACTTCTGATGGCTAAATGTTAAATTTCTTCCTTCATTGGAGGACATATGGCAAGGATCTAAAATTGCAATAGAAGGCAAGAATTAGCAATCCAGAGCAAAAGTCTAGGTCATGCTAATGTACTTCTAAGTTCACTATTATTCACATCTATGAAGTACGAAACACGAGCAAATATTTACGGGATTTCCGAACACCATTAGCTAACATGTATGTTCTTCCTATGTTCTTTTCCTCTGTTATCTATCTCCAAAGGCCACGGTCATGACGACCAACACAAACAAGCATCGCATCATTTCACAGCTAACACTTTCATCATCAGAAACCATAATACGAAATGTTAATAAAAGATGCACCTTTTCTCTCAAATTTGGGCTTCTCCTTCAAGATACCTTCCTGTGATCAATGACATCAAAAGTCAAGTTTCAGAAAGAACCCATATGCAAAATAGTTAAACACATCCACAAGAGACTGCACGTCGACAAAACAGAGTGATATAAACGTAGACGCACATTGAAGTGCCGGAGCAAGTCCTTGGCCTTCGCTTCGTCGTCGTCCTCATCTCTAACTTCTCTGCGAAGCAACACAAGGCTGTGATCAATTGAAGTGCTTTGATGATTCAGTAAAGCAATGCCATGAGCAATGCCATGAAACCCAGAAAGGTTATTCCATACGTCTTGACAACAGCAGGTTTTGGCCTTCGAACTGGAGGAGCTTTAGGTGCAAATCTCACCTGCAACATCACAGCACAAAACATTCATTACCCAAGAAACAAAAAAAACAAGGAACACCATCCCCAGCCAATGCAATTGTCATTTAGCTGAAAATAACAAATATCAAATGAATAAATAAAAAAAACCCAAGAAGGGCATGAACCAACCTTCCTTGGAGCAGCACCATAATCGCTGACGGGTTTTGAATCCATCAGATTCAGCTTCTGATCTTTCAATTTAAAGTTGGAGTAAAGAATTTGCTGAAGATTCAAATTGCCCGATTAATTTAGATGAATCCGGAAATTAGTTATCAGTCCAGTGATCATCGAGGGCTCATCGCCAATCAATAGAGGGTGTCTCAATTCGTCTTTGGTCTCTGGTTTCTTCTTCAAAATGGCAATGGCGGTTAGGGTTTCACCGGCTGCGAAGAGGAAGAAGAAGACGCGATCGCAGAGGACGAAACTGGGCTTTTCTACATGGGCTTGGGCATTCGAAATCCGCTTATTGGGCCTTCTATACGCAGGTGGTTTGAAGAAGTAATTCTACTAGGAGTTATGAGCGGTTCTAGAATCCTTATAAGTTTCACCTCGGTTCTAGGTTCCTTATAAGTTTCACCTCGAACCTGGAACCTACCCTCGAGTACAGGTTCCTCATCTTTTGGAATCTAAAACCTACCTGTCGGAACTTGGAACCTAGAACCTACCCTGTTATAGGTTCCAGGGTCCAACAGTTTTTTTTTTATTTCATTTTTAGTTAAACAAAATGAAAATGAACGCAATAATACCGAATAAGTTTATCATTCATAAAAAAAATATACAAAAGACTAATTTTTCTAGCATTACGATTAAACTAAATATAATTAAAATGAGAAGTTATTGTGTGAATCGATACGCAACAGAATTCATGAGGGATTAGCATGTCGATCAAGACAATATCCATATCTAGGACTACAAACAAAATGGGAAGCAGGAAAAAGGAAAGAAAAATGAGTTTTTGATCCTCAAACATCCATGAAAATTTGTTCCAAACTCTGACCACTTAAAATCAAAGAAACAATAATCATAGTTGATAATTTAATAATAGTTTTAAATTAAAAATTGAAATGTCATCTATTGATTATTTGCAACTGCAACTACAATTTTTTCTTTTCTCCTTCTACCATCCATTATCACTATGGTTCAAACTATGCAACCATCAAACTTAAGATGTTTCTTGAAAGAGTGAATTACGAAAACAATTGACCTCACTAAATGACAATGAATACCCAAACATAACAAGTTAAACAAAGCAATGAGCATGTGAATGGTGGGTACTCCAAAACCACAATAAATCATAGGTCTAAACAAACCTTAGGAAATGTTCTACATGACAAGTTAAGTAAAGTAATGAGCATGCAGACGGAGATGATAATTTAAGAGCTAAGAAGTGAGGAGTAGTAAAAAAATTAGGGATTTTAGATATTGGGGGTTCTTGGTTCTCGGTTCCATTCCTGGTTCTCGGTTCCCAGTTCAGTTTCCGGTTCCAATTCCTATGGGAATCAGGAACCGAACCAAAACTGGCGGTTCCTAAAAAAATGGAACCGAGAACCGGAACCTCCCTCCCTGGGATAGAGAATCGAACAGGACTCATCGGTTCGGTTTCACCCTGGACTCATGCTCACCCTTACATTCTACTACATGAGGCACATAAAGGCATAAATGATAACTATTTTATTCTTGGGAATAATTTTTGTCAAAAAATAGATTATATTCACTGGACGAGTTTTTGAGTAGAGAAAATCGTTTAATAGTGACACAAAATCTCTGTTCCCGAGACAAAAATTCGTTTTATAACATCATAAAATTTCTATTTTCTAGAACAGAAATTCGTGTAATCTCCAACATATTGTCATCCCTTACTATTTTATTGGCAATACTTTTTCTAAGCATATTCATCTCGGTTCCCTCGTCGGTCAATGTATCGTCTGTAACCTCATCTTGTGTAGGTCCAAATGGGTACTCCGGAACTCCATATATGGAAAAGTTGTTTGCCTTCGTATCTTGATCACGGATGTAATTATGGATAGCACAACATGTAATTACAATATGTGCTTGCTTTCGAATTATAAATGAAGGCATGTGTCTCAAAATGAAGAAGCGATTCGTTAATGCTGCAAATGATCTCTCAATGACATTCCTTAGTAAAGAATGTCTTGTTGACACCAAAATTTTGTCTAGTCATTTAAAGTTTAAGTGCATAGAAAAACTAGGAATTAATTTTGAACCCCTAAGCAAAAATATTTTCATTAAATTACATGGCACATAGATATTAGGTGCATTTGCATTAATAGAATTTAGTTAAACATATTTTCCTTTTAGTTTATTTCATTTTTTTATTTTATTTAAAAAATCATTATAAAAAAATTTTTTAAAAAAAGAAAAAAGACAAAGTAAAAGAGAGAAGACAAAAGGGGACGCTATCCTCCCCGTAGACAGGCATGCTTCCCCATTGGTCTCCATGCACACTTTCACAAAAGAAGAAATAGGAAGAAAGGACACAAGAAATTGATTTGCACATTTTCTGCAAGAAAGAAACCAGAGAAGAGCGGAAGAAGAGACAAAAGGGGGGAAGGCCATCTTCTTTCTCTCGGGGAATACACGTCCAGAGTGGCGGCTCCCGGGAAGAGAAGCAAAAGGAAGGGAAAGGAGAAGTCAAAAAGAAAATGACAAAAAAAGAAGAAGCTTTCTTCTTTCTTTGACTGACATGAAGGGCTCTCTCTCTATTTGACCGTGCAGTCCATTCACCAAAAGGGGACGTTCTACACACACTAAAAAAGGGCAGAGGGGGTGAAGCAGGCGGGGGAGTTTTTGAGAAAAGGAGAGAATTCGAGAGAGACCGGAAGAGAACTTAAGGGGAGTCAGAGAATTGAGAGCCTCGCCTGCTCGCCGGAGGGTCGCCCGAGTCGCCGTCGAACCTCTAGCCGTAGTGCGTCACCTCAGTCAGCTGTGAACCAGGTAGGTCTTCATCCCCTTCCCCTGCCTCTTGGGTGCCGGGCACATCGAGCCTATTCGTTGATCGCCCGGCCCCGTCGATGGATGCTCGTGTTCGTTTGACACTCAAAGAAGCTGTTTTAAACGTTTCACACCGAGAATAGGCCATATTTTGCTAAAAGCGAGCTTGTTTCTTCATTTTTCGGCCACACCTCACATGTTTGACAAAATGCCCCACTGGGACAGTACAACCTTAGAACGTTAAATCTGGTCATGTTTTTTTTAGCGTTTCATTGAAAGCTCTGACCATATTCTGATGAGATATGGATTTCTAGATCCTTATACATCACAACTAATCCAAAGATCGCATTGAATCTCACTCTAGACCATTTTTCTGAACTCGCACATCACATGCTCGGTGAAATGTCTAAATGAAGGTCCGAATCATTTTTTGTGGAATCGGTGCTTGGAATTGATTTTTATGCTTGATTAGTTCTCATATTTGTCGAATGGTGTCTGCCTTTGTGTTTTCTCTGTGATTTCTTTGATTGGTGGCATATTAACTCCGGTTCGAGTCGGCAATGTGTCCACCTCCCCCCTCGCCTGGAAGCTTCTCATCGCTGGTGATGCCGGCGGTTTGAGGCCGCTTCAGTCGGTCTTTTCTTCTTTGTGTCAATGTGCATATGCGTGTTCGTTCTGCTGGAACATTTCTTGCTTGAGAAATACTGATTCGGAGAAGGAAGCGGCATGATAGTTTTTAGTGGTCGAAATACGGTGGCCGACGATTTGGTGTTGGCCGGTGGTGGCGACGTAAGGCCAGCGTCCGTCGCCGGCGGTGGTGGCCTGAGCCGATGGCCGGCGGTGGGCATGCCCGACGTGGTCTCGGCGAGGGTTGAAGAGGGCGTTTCCAGTGAACTCTCGGCGAGTCCATGAAGGAGAAGACGTCCTGGGGAGTGGGGAGAAGACGTCCAAAAGGGGAAGAAAAGTAAAAAAAATAGAAAAAGAAACAAGAAACAAGAAAAGAAAGAGAAAGGAAAAGGGGGAAAATAATAAAAAAAATTAGAAAAGAAATAGAAAAAGGGGGGTCCCGTCAGGGGACCCGGTCCGGAATGCTTATTTTATTAATAAAAAACATTAAAAAATTAAAAAAATTAAAAAATCAGAAAATTAATTTAAAAGAATCAGAAAATTTCCAAAAAATCCGAAAAATAAAAAATATTGTTTGGGCTTTGGAATTGGCCTTTCTTGCCCCTTTTTGGATTCTTTGTGTGATTAGCGTCATGTTTGATTGCACCTTGCTTGATTCACACACTTTGAATTGCGCGTTTAATTTAACCTTGCATGTGGTTGATTATGCATGTTGGATTCATGTGTTGATTGTTGCTTTCCCTAGCTTGGTTAGGAATGGAATTTTGAGACTCCCAATTAGTGTAAACACGTTAGGCGGTAATTGAACAATGTTAGGTACCGAAAGGGCACTAGTTGATCAATTAGTGTAATCAAGTCCCTGTACTCATTGAATCTCTGGTTCGTAGAAGTGAAGTATTTCTCCCATGCTTTACTTGGGTGTCTAATCGACTCACTAAAAACTGATTAGTGATGACTTCTAGATGAAATTGATTTGCTTGTTAATAACTTAAACGTAACCTTAAGTCGCGAGTTAGTATGGGCTTGAGAGAGCTCGAGCTAGGTTTAACTTAGTAATCCATTAGCCAAATCCGTTAGGTGGTGAGACCGGTTTGGGGAGGTCGCGACATGCCTATAGTTGAACAATTTTATTGTAGTATGGTTTAAATACCTTTTTCGGTTGTGGCTTTGAGGAGGCATTCTTGTCCTTCAACCCCTTCAACAACCCGCTGTTCTAGATTGTTGAATCAGCTTGTTCTTATGCCTCTTCTTCCTCTTTTGCTTCTTCAACTTCCATGTCAGTGAAAGTAGGGTGAGTGAGGACGGACAAACATGTATGTCGGAAAATTAACCACCTTGTTCAATCTCTTTGTTCGTTCTGTTGAGGAAAACTCCTATTGATTTTGAAGTTGACAAAACCTTCCATGTTATTATAAATCTGATACTTATTCTGAACTAATTTATTCCAGGTATGTATATTCTGGAAGCTTAGAAGGAAGTTTTTCAGACTTTACAAGCTGGTAAATACATTATTGCAGACCCACATAATCTAAGTTCTGAGACTCAGACCCTGAAATTATTCAGACGCAGACGGAGGAATTTTCAGAAGCAGATGCAGAAGCTGAAATTTTTCAGAAGCAGACGTAGACGCATAAATTCTTCACATGCAGAATTCAGAACGAAACATAACAGCTAGTGATCTGGTATGGATTTCACAGAAGGAAAGCTTTGATCTCAATCAAATTGATTGACAATCAAAGATTACGACAAGCATGCATTACAACGGATAAAGCTCTACTTATGAAAACCAAGATTCTGATTGTATGGGCGACCAGAATCGGCGGGATTCAGAATCTGTCATCCAACGGCTACTCAATCATTTCTATA